TTTCATTCTCATTTGATTCAAGGAATTTTTTTTTATTATTATTATTTGGGTGAAGATTTACAGAGAAAATTCACTTTCTATACAGCAGTTCACATATACTTTGTCTCATGTCATTGACCACAATTTACCACAATGCAACAGCTCCCCTCCCACTTCCTCCCCATAGTTACCTCTTCCCAGTGTCCTTCCCTCCATACTCTCCTGCCCCCTGAGCTGTCTCCCTGTGCATAAGCAGCCCTTCTGATTGAAGGAATTTTTAAATTTCTTCTATTATTCAGTCATTTTCAAGAGGGTGTTATTCAGTTTCCATGTGTTAGCTCTTCCTCTGTTCATCTTTCTATTGTAGATTTCTAATTTTACACCACTGTAATCTGTGAAGATGCTTTGCAGTATTTCAGTGCTTTTAGATTTATCGAGTCTTGCTTTGTGGCCTAACATATGGTCTATCATAGAGAATGTTCTGTGTGCATTGGCAAAGAGTGTATATTGTGCAGTTTTTGGGTGAAGTGCTTTGTAGATATCTACAAGGTCAAGTTGGTGGATTATATTGTTTAGCTCTTCTGTGTCTTTGTTGAGTTTCTTTCCAATTGTTCTATCTGTGATTGAAAGTGGTGTATTAAAGTCTCCTCCTATGACTGGAGTCATTTATTTGTCTTTTCAATTCTGTTTGAGTCTGGCTTATGTATTTTAGGGCTCTTTCATTGGGTACATAGGTGTTTATTATTGTTAGGTCCTCTTGTTCAATTGATCTTTTAATAATTTTATGGTGTCCTTCCTTGTCTCTTCTGGTAGTTTTTGTCTAAAAGTCAATTTTATCAGAAATTAATGTTGTCACTACAGCTCTTTTATGGTTGCCCTTTACTTGATACATCTTTTCCAGTCTTTGATTTTTAGTCTGTTGTCTTTGTCTCTCAGGTGTGTCTTTTGTAGACAGCATATAGAAAGGTTATGTTTTCTTTTTATTTTCAGGAGTTTCTTTTTTTTTTTTAATTGTAATTTGGGTGAAGATTTACAGAGCAAATTCACTTTCCATACAGCAGTTCACATATACTTTGTGACCACAGTTTACAATGTAACAGCTCTCCTCCCACTTCCTCCCCATAGTTACCTCTTCCCAGTGTCCATCCCTCCATACACTTCTGCCCCTTGAGCTGTTTCCCTGTGCATAAACAGCCCTTCTTTTTCCCATGATTGTTCTCTCCACAGAATGTATCTACTTGAGGTAAATGTTCAGCTCATATGCCTGTTTTTTGTTTGGCTGGAAACCACAGGTGTGGGTTCAATTCCAGACCTGAAGGGCAGCTAGGGGCTGTAGTCTCAGTGGTGCCACCAGGCTCTAT